TGCATAATCCAGTCCACCACAATCAGGAAAACCATCTGTGATAGTAGGCGGCAATCTTATCGTAACTCCTGCCTTGACTTCAAAGGCATCACTGAGCTTTCCATTGTGACTCACTTGGTATGTAGCATCATATGGCATAGCAATAGCTGTTGAATGGGGTTGATAAAGGTTTGTGGCACCAAAACCGTAGTGTTGAAGTAGCTGCCAAATTACTTCTCGGTCGACACTGTCGAAGGCCTTTTCAAAGTCGATGAAGGTAAGGTGAGGTGTTGACTGCCATTCTATTCTCTGTTCTATGATGATGCTCAGTGTTGCGTTGCAATTTGATCCGCACATGATTTGATCTTCGTGAAACCAGCCAGCCTGTTCCGGTCGTAATTTTGAATCCGGAGCACCTTTTATCTCTCCAGGATGATGCGGCATAATATTTTGTTTGGGGTGGACACAGGTGAAGCATGATTCCGCGCCAGTTCTTGTAAAGACTTAGGTCTCCCTTCTTTGGGAGTTTGACAAGGTAGCCCTTCTTCCAATCAATCGGAAAGTACCAATCCTTCCTTCATTGTAAATCTTCTACAATAGTGGTGTGAGCATGTCCGCTGCTGTTGTCTCTGCGTCTGTTTTCAGTGCTTCTGGAGGAGTTCCGTCTGGCTCTACTGCTTTCTCGGCCTCCAGCAACTTTATGGCGTTCAGGACTACACTTCTGCTTTTGTTCACTGGTAATTCTGCGGTTGCTGGTGGTATTCCTGGACGAGTTGCAAGTCGTGATGGCGGTCGATTGAAGAGTTTTTGAAGTGGTCAGCCCATTGTTCTCTTTGTTTCTCTACTTTGGTAACTAATTTTCCTTCACTATCTTTCATTGGTTTCATCTGAGTCGATCTCTTCCCAGATAATAAGCTGGTTATTGATATAATGTTGTCAGATCTCTGTCTCTCCTACCAGCAGCCTGTTCTACTTCACTTGCAAGTGTGTCGTAGAAGTGTCTTTTGTCTTTCCGCGCACTCTTCTTCACTTCACTATCCAGTGCAGTGTTTTATGGGTTGTGTTCAGTTCCTCTTCTCGTTCGTTGTTCATCCCTGCGCTGCGCTGCACTGCACTGCACTGCACTCGTTCATCTTCTGCTTCACCATCTTCCTCTCCCCTCTCTATCAGCTTTCATGTATCCATGGAGATCCATGCCTTGTCTTGTCGCTTCTTCTTCCTTCCTAACACGGTTATGTGGGTTTCCTTCCACATATATTTCAAAGAGTTCCAGTGTTCTTCCACTCGGGTTCCTCGGGGATGTTTCTCAATATCTCCCATTTTTTCCTGATGTCTGCCATGAATATATCCTTTGAAGTTTCGTCCTTCAGTTTCTGGGCGTTGAACTTGAACTGTGACCTATCACCAGCTTCTTTGAAGGCTTTCAACTTGATTTTGAGGGTAGGTTGTTTGCACTAGATAGTGAGTGGTGTGAACCTACACATCTGCTCCCCTGCTTCATCCGACCTTGTGTCCAGTAGGCTGCGTCTCCACTTTCTTCAAATTGAGATGAAGTCGATCTGATTTGTAGTGCAGTGTGTCCATCTGGTGAAATGAAATCCATGTCACTGTGAGACTTGGAAGTTGGTGGTAAATGAGGTGAAGAGGTCGAAGGTTTTCAGCAATAATTGTCTTCATGGTATTGCTCTCGTATGGTTTAATCAGTGTTCGAAAAATATAGATTTTAAACGAAGAATAGTAGACAATGAAGGGAACTCTGGTTGAGCTTGTGGAACCATGGCTGACTGATGTGTGTTGCATGTGCAAGCGAAGCCACCGTCCTCGTTAATTGGTATGCGAAGTAGAAATGGGTTGTTAGTCGCCTAAGAGTGGTCAGAAAAAGACGTGGCAGCTATCCATGAAGTCTCTGACTGTTGGTGTGAGTCATGTCTGACGGGTGTAGCCTGCTAAACTAGAGGCTGGGGTCACAATGGCTCAGATGTATTCATTTTATGACATCCTACAAAAAGGGACCATGTGCTATAACCTTCATTCGTCAGGTTATTTTTCGTCCCATACACTCTTGTCTTCTTTAAAATGAGTCTTTTTCTACCCACTTTTTCTTTGCCTGCTGCAGTGGATCGTGAGAACTTGAACGGGTTCGCTCTTTGTGAGAGTTCTTGACGTTAGTTAGGTTTACTTGTCTTTTGCATGTTTTGAAGGATGTTTCGCAATATTTATTGCATATTTCAATGTATCTGTTGCATTTGACGGCAGGTTAAATGAAGAGAGAGTACGGTTTTTTTTAACTAAAGAAACCCACTGGATTCAAGAACAAAAAGCCATTCTTTTAATCTCTGGGTTCTTTCGCTTAACTGTAAAAATGTGAGAACCGGAGTAGGTTAATATCGCCGTGAGACGTACTGATACTGGTTGACAATTGAACTTGGCACAGGTTACATCAGCTCATCAATATAAAAGGCAAAAATTTGAAAAGTCGAAAATTGAAAACCGGTTTTTCTAACATTTATTGACGTACTTGGAATTCTCCGTTATTTTATTGGATCGAATTGTTCGACCCCTGTTGGCATGTGGGCTCCTATGCGGATGTCTCGATATTGCCTGGATGTTAGTTGAGGTAATTTGTTTGGTTGTGGCTAGCAGAAGAATCCAGGACGCGCGTTTCTTCGACGAAACAAATTAGTTTTTCCAACAATTGAAAAAAGTCATGGAAAGTGAAGAAAAGCGGGTAATACAAATGTCCCACTGACATGATGTCTAGAATGACGATAATGCCCATATGCATCTCTACCGACGTCAGTAAGTCACTCACCATCAATGTGGGGCCCAACTTTATTGCGTAACTGTCCAAGTCTCTACAGCTCATGTCAGGACATCAAGATAGAAAACACGAAGCTGAAAGATTGAAAACAAGCTAGACAGTAGTAAAAAGTAAAGAGGTTAGGAAGGAATAAAGCAATTATGAAGCTCTTTATGGTGAATATGATAATGTGTGGGTGCATCTTTATCAGCATAATCGATACATAGCTGCATAACCGTGTTTCTAACGCTTAATATAAAATTTGAACACTGGCTTTGTGTAATTACATTTTAATTGATTTATTATATGTATCACACAGTGGAACAGTTTTATTCAGTGCATTATGTTTCGCAAACAATTGTCCATAGTCTAATCAAGATCTTTGTTTTCGAGAAAAGGAGTGGGCCATAAGAGTGTTCAAGGTTGTTGTTCCATAGTCAACACGTGTATCAATTACTCATACCAAGATTAATCAAGGATGGACACTTATCATAAGCCAGTATATCTGATTTTTACACCACAGCTAATACCTCATTCTGTTCAACAGTCGTGTACTATCGTCATTGGTGCTAATTCACCAGGTTCTGCTGCATTTCTGTGTTTCAGTCGTCTCAACTTCTGAGAGATTTATTGGCTGTGTCGATGATTCATTCAGGCTTCGACTTGAAAGCGCACAAGTGAAGGGTCAAAAGAATTTAACTCAGTAATTATGTGCACGTTTGGGCTGTAGGTAATACACTGCAGTTACGATGTGAAGGCTGGTGGTACAGCCAAGCTACCAAAAACTCGGTAGGTGGAGCGGCGTTCAAACGTGTAACGCATTGATTGAAGTTCGGGTCCCTGAAGTAATGAACCTTAGTTGTACAGCCTGATGTTGCAAAGTAGCTGGTTAGCCATTGAACTGTCCGTCGTAGGTGTATGTATATCGATGTACATTTTGTTGGCTAACCAATAATAAGCTTATCATTAAATGCAAACGCCTGTTTCAATCTTTGGAGAGATACTTATAACCCATCAGTTTTAAATCAATTAGAATTTCTACTTTTAAGTTCTGGGTAATGATACGTAGGTCTTGAGTCTGGTGTCTTGTTTTTCTTTTGTGCATTACCCTTATGTGTCAGCACAACTGCCGAAAGGATGAAAATTCAAATCACTGGCTCAGAGTTGGATACAGAAGTCAACACACTACAACTCCCTTGACATGCTTTCTAAAGGTCATTTATACCGTTGTGCAGCTTTTCATTTTGTCAATACTGCACAGTTCATACAGAACTTACACCTACTGTTATCATAGATTCTGAAGTTGTTACTTTACTTCCTTCTCATGCAAAGGTTACAGTCGTGGTGGATCTGGAAATGAAAGAAGAGGTGATGGTGGTAGCGGTGGGAGAGGAGGTATGGGAGGCGGTGGTTTTACTCAGCCGCCTCAGATGCATGGTCAACCTATGCCGTATATGGGTGGTGGTGGAGGTGGCGGTTATATTGCAGATCCTTATCAAATGGCTGCAATCAACCAACAAATGAGTGGGATGATGTTATTTGAACCTGGATTATCTACTGGTCCACAGCAAAATTTTGTCTTTCAAGTAAGGGATCATAACATAATTTTATCATCCCCCATTCGGTTGCTTTGTCAAATCAGTTGTTCTTTTCCATTCACACATGCAAAGTACTTTTGTAAGGTATACGAATAATACCTTGTTATAAGCCGTTGTGTAGTTTAACTAGCAAAGGGAATTAGGTGGTTTACGGTGGTCAACTATATCTTTGTGATTTTATGTGAGGGATTGTAATTTTTTCTTTATGAGTTCAGTGTATTGGTGTATCTAATTCGCTGGTAATAAAAGCATCAGACGAAAACTGTACTCGTATTCATATCTTTCGATTTGCCAGTTTCACCCTCCGTTTATTCTAAATCGAAGATAAAAATTTATTCCGTTATGGCATACACTCACCATTGTTTAACTGCTGGCTGTAACTGTTGGCAAGGCTTTTCTAATTCCGTTAAAACACCTACAAAATCTCTAAATTGAGCATCGCTCTGCGTGTTCAGTAGGCGTTTTTTCCGACACGGTTGTTATACATGTCGAATTTCTTTCATTTACGATGATTTTAATGTAATCCTTCCACATAATACTTATGAGAAATCTGCTCGAAGTCGTAATCTAACATCCTGTCATAATTCTTATCTGTGTATAAAATCTAAAAATAGTATGACTTATTGGATTGATTCTAAATGAGAAAAGTTGTTTAGCGTCTCTACAGGAAGTGCATAGGTTACTAGGCGAATTCATATCATAATACAGCTAAATCACTGATTGAATAAATTACTAGATTGTGTATTCATTCACAAGTAAACAAAAGGTTAGGTCAGAAACACTTATGTTGTTGTTTGTTTAAAAAAGGAAGGAAGTCACAATCATATAATGCTACGCTACGCACCTACAAATAATGATCGAAAGAAGAGGGAGGAATTCTACAGACAACTGCAGTCAGTAATGGACAAGACCCCAACCCAGTTGGAGTCATCAAAATTCTAATGCGTGGGGTGACATTAATGCCAAACTGGGAGCAGACGACACAGGAAGAGAACTGATCATGGGTCGAGAAGCACTCGGTGAAATGAACGAGAATGGAGAACTGTTTGCAAACTTCTGCGCATTTAACGATTTGGTGATTTTAGTGAGGCAGTCTGTACAAACGCAAGGATATCCACAAAGCGACATGGATTTCATTTCACCAGATGGACACACTGCACTACAAATCAGATCGACTTCATCTCAATTTGAAGAAAGTGGAGACGCAGCCTACTGGACACAAGGTCGGATGAAGCAGGGGAGCAGATGTGTAGGTTCACACCACTCACTATCTAGTGCAAACAACCTACCCTCAAAATCAAGTTGAAAGCCTTCAAAGAAGCTGGTGATAGGTCACAGTTCAAGTTCAACGCCCAGAAACTGAAGGACGAAACTTCAAAGGATATATTCATGGCAGACATCAGGAAAAAATGGGAGATATTGAGAAACATCCCCGAGGAAACCCGAGTGGAAGAACACTGGAACTCTTTGAAATATATGTGGAAGGAAACCCACATAACCGTGTTAGGAAGGAAGAAGAAGCGACAAGACAAGGCATGGATCTCCATGGATACATGAAAGCTGATAGAGAGGGGAGAGGAAGATGGTGAAGCAGAAGATGAACGAGTGCAGTGCAGTGCAGTGCAGCGCAGCGCAGGGATGAACAACGAACGAGAAGAGGAACTGAACACAACCCATAAAACACTGCACTGGATAGTGAAGTGAAGAAGAGTGCGCGGAAAGACAAAAGACACTTCTACGACACACTTGCAAGTGAAGTAGAACAGGCTGCTGGTAGGAGAGACAGAGATCTGACAACATTATATCAATAACCAGCTTATTATCTGGGAAGAGATCGACTCAGATGAAACCAATGAAAGATAGTGAAGGAAAATTAGTTACCAAAGTAGAGAAACAAAGAGAACAATGGGCTGACCACTTCAAAAAACTCTTCAATCGACCGCCATCACGACTTGCAACTCGTCCAGGAATACCACCAGCAACCGCAGAATTACCAGTGAACAAAAGCAGAAGTGTAGTCCTGAACGCCATAAAGTTGCTGGAGGCCGAGAAAGCAGTAGAGCCAGACGGAACTCCTCCAGAAGCACTGAAAACAGACGCAGAGACAACAGCAGCGGACATGCTCACACCACTATTGTAGAAGATTTACAATGAAGGAAGGATTGGTACTTTCCGATTGATTGGAAGAAGGGCTACCTTGTCAAACTCCCAAAGAAGGGAGACCTAAGTCTTTACAAGAACTGGCGCGGAATCATGCTTCACCTGTGTCCACCCCAAACAAAATATTATGCCGCATCATCCTGGAGAGATTAAAAGGTGCTCCGGATTCAAAATTACGACCGGAACAGGCTGGCTGGTTTCACGAAGATCAAATCATGTGCGGATCAAATTGCAACGCAACACTGAGCATCATCATAGAACAGAGAATAGAATGGCAGTCAACACCTCACCTTACCTTCATCGACTTTGAAAAGGCCTTCGACAGTGTCGACCGAGAAGTAATTTGGCAGCTACTTCAACACTACGGTTTTGGTGCCACAAACCTTTATCAACCCCATTCAACAGCTATTGCTATGCCATATGATGCTACATACCAAGTGAGTCACAATGGAAAGCTCAGTGATGCCTTTGAAGTCAAGGCAGGAGTACGATAAGATTGCCGCCTACTATCACAGATGGTTTTCCTGATTGTGGTGGACTGGATTATGCAAAAAACTGTGAGGAACGAGATGTGCATAAGCGGGCTGGAAAGATGAAAAGACCCTAGAAGATTTGGATTTCGCCGATGATTTATGTCTAATATCTTGTCGCACAAACTCGAAGATCTACAGGCAAAAATCAACAAGTTGACAGAAGAGTCAGCAAAAACAGGACTTTAAGTGAACGTAGAGAAGACAGAGGTGATAAAGATACCCAGCCAACAACACCAATCACCATCAATGGGAGAAATCTAAAGGAAATAGTCTCTTTCACCCACCTCCTCAGACAGCAACGTTTCAACTACAGGCGGCGGCATAGATGAGGATGTCAAAGCCAGGATCGGAAAGGCAAGACAGGCCTTGACTAACCTGAAATCAGTATGGAGATGTACTGTACTAAGCATAAAGAACAAGATGAGGATTTTCAACACCAACGTTAAGTCAGTGCTTCTATGTGATGGTTCAGAAACTTGGGGCGTTACAAAAAGCATTTCCAACAAACTACAGACATACATCAACAACTGCCGCCTACACTCACTCAATATTGAAGATCAGATGGCCAGAATAGTAAGAATAAGCAACAAGGAGCTCTGGCTGGCCGGTAACGAACCAACCAAGAACCCACCACCCAACAAATTTGCAGAAGAAAGTGGAGATGGATTGGGGACTGGGCATGCACTGAGAAGACCATTCGGGGACATCACGCGTCAGGCCAGGCCGTCGAGTGGAAAACAAAGGGGGAACGAAGAGTTGGGCATCTGAGGGTGACATGGAGGAGATCATGTGAGGAAGAAATGAACGCTTTTGGGCAGTTGTGGAGCCAGGTTCAAAAGACTGTAGAGAAGAGAGTGAAATGGAGACGTGTTACTGAAGCCCTGTGTTCCACGTGTAATCGAAGGAAGAAAGAATTTTGTTTGAGTTACGTGTAGGCATCTTTTAGCTGGCGAAGTTTGTGATTATTATGAGCTTTGTATGTTCCATGTGAGGTATGCATGCGTCTAGATTATTGCGATGAAGAAATATATTGGATTTCAACAGTCAGGCGGTGTAATCGAATAGATATAATTTATTAAATGTATTTATGGTGGCGATTGAGATAATACCAGAGGTGTGAGATGGGTTTTGGTATGACAAGACACAGTCGTCGTTATGTTGGGAATTGCTGCACTACTATGGTTGCCCGCAAGCGAAGTCGTTATTCTGACTAGGTGGGTATGTGACAGCCGTAAGATATTTTTTGACAATAACCAACTGCACCGTTCTGATGCCGTTTTCGCTATGGTAAAGGGTGGGGTAGAAAAGTTTGGCACCAAAATTAACAGTATCCTTTCCACCAAACTTTTTGCCGCGCCGGGGATCTAAGTTCATAATTGGACTTAAAAAACGAACTAAGCTATTAAATTTCTCAAAAGACCGTGTGTGATTGGGCTCAAACAAATGTCCCTTGGGTTCTGTGTTCACGCACTAACCCTCTTAATGTTTCTTAGGGAGAAATAACCTTTTATGGTGTAGCCATTAGGAAAGTGGCTACTGCCTTCAACTCTGTCAGCTTTAGCTCTCTGCAGACCATTTACAACCGGGCACAGCCTTACCTTTATCATCTTTCTCCACGTCTCCCTGTCAATATTACTACATCGTCTTTAATTTCTTCTAGCTCTGCAGCTCTTGACAGCGATCTGAGTGCATGAAACACCCATTCTTGATCTCCTAAAACTGCTCTCCAAACTGCATATGAGTGCTTTCAACTCTAGAGACTGGAGATATGAATGTGTACTGTGTTTGTGATATGCGCATACAGGATGCAAGTGCGGTTATTTACTTAGCCATTATTATGCATCCCCAAAATCCACCCTTGGAGTTTTCGGAGATTCGATGACCAGTTCCCGCTGTCTTGCAGGTATAGGTATTAAATTGAGCACTTAGGCAGAAATTGAGCTACCCTACTGGAACTCAGTTTACAGTCGTCTGTGTACTTTTTGGCTGAATGGCACAGTAAGGACAAGAATATTGAGAATCATCGTTGTCTTTGTAATCTCTGTGTACTATACCTACTGACTGCATTTCGCATCAAGTGAAGGATGAGTTCTACCGAAATCTGTCTAGCCTCCCACTGAAAGCCAAGCGCTCCGAAATGGTAGTTGTTGCAGGTGATTTCATTGCACAAGTGGATAGTCTAAGTCAGACAGAAAGGGACTTAGGTGAGTGACACTTTCGGAATCCCAGCTGAACCAGCAGATAGTGGCGATCGTCTACTACAATTGCGCTCTGATAACCATTTATTTCTAGCAAGCACAAACTTTAGGCATAAAGAGAGATTGCTTGATGTGGTGTCCACCAATCTTACTCCAGCGGTGAGAACACAAATAGACTACGCTGTCGTCGGTAATCGCTGGAAAGGCATGATAGAGGACTGCCACTCCTTCTGGAGCACGTGTTAGGACATTGACCACGCGTTTCTTTGACCACGTATATGTCTGCGCCTGAATAGATGCGGGAAAACCAGCAGAAATACCATTACGAATGCTGTTTGATGGTGTAAATACTAACTTTGCTTTCAGTGAAAAGCTGACTCGAAAGTCATCGGATCACAACATCACCCATGCAGAAGATCCCTGACCCCGTCTTCAGTCTACTATAAAGACTATAGCTAACCCTACGAAAGTTTTTATAAGTATCCAATGGATTTTGGCAGTTTCTTTTGAATTAATTTTTGCAGTTTCACGGATCCCTGCAAGCAAAATGAAGAGATGAAGCTACTAAAATGCAGATTCACAAGAAGTGTACGCAACGACCGTGAACAGTGGTGGACAGAAAAGGCTGAAGAGATGGAAATGGCAGAGGTGATGGGTAACAATGGACAGTTATTTATACTGATTAAGGAAACTGGAGTGAAGAGGTCAGTGATTAGGGAGACTGTAGCAGAGAAGCATGAGTTTGTGATTCACTCGCAGGAGAGACGACTGGAACGATGGGCGGAACACTTTGAGGGACACTTCAACTGGTCCCCTTGCTACTATTACGTCTACTATGCAGTCGGAGCCTGTATCGAACATCGAGATAGGACCTTCAACACGTAAAGAAGTTGAGAAAGTAGTAGATAACCTGAAGCGAGGAAGAGGAACAGAGCCAGACGGACTAGTTCCACAGTTAGTTAAAGATGGTGGCAGAGTTTTATTGGTCAAATAACTGAAGTTACTAGGCGTATGAAAATTATATTTGGATCCTCTCTGACTGATCTCAATCACTGATTGTTCCAGCCTTCAAGAAAGGTTATATCCACCGAAGAATCATCTTGACGACTTCAGGTTCCTATAATCATTAGACACCTGTATTGGATCCCAAGAACAGCAAATGCACGATAACTAGGCGGGTTTTAGGACTTGCTGTAGGTGTGTCGGACAGATACCTACTCTTCGTCAGGTTCTAGAACGCAGACACATTTGCAGGCTCCTGTAATTGGGTGTGTTTGTTGAGATGAAGGTGGCATTCAATTCCGTTAGTCGAGAAGTGTTATGGCGGTGTCTCTCACTGACGGGTGTACCCAGTATATACAACATTGTGCTGAAGGTTGTATACTCGAACACGTGTGGGCGTGTTGGAGTCTATGGTGAGTTGTGTACTTAGATTGGTGTCCACCAAGGATGGCCACTCCCTCCCTATCCCATTTTTTATAGACTTTCTTGTGGAGGTCTTCTCGTTGTCTAACTTTAAAAAATTGATCTTATTATAAGAGAATCTTTGGTAGAGTGTCCAGACGAGAGGCAGTTCTGTTGAATGAAGACTTTGACAAGATACAGAGTCTCCTTAACACCTTGATTAGTTATTTGGGAACGTTGAGTGCGTTTTCCAACACCCAAATTCAAGTTGTTACCCTAGGTCTGATCTTTGGTGGTGTCTTGCCTAGAAATAGAGAGTACAGTAGTTGGACGTGTTGGCCACTTCATTTACCCGGTAAGTTGGCTCATCCCTGGTGTGTCAGTGACTGATAAAATGTCTGCAAACATAGAAGACGTTCGCCTGGCTTTTGCCAAATTATATTAATGGTAACGCTATGGTGTGTGGTTCTCTCATAAGAGTTGAGCGTGCTGCGCTGCAGTTCACTTTGCTCTAGTGTACTATATTCGTAAAATGTAGTCATTAAAGGTAGAAGGTATGAGAAGGTCTAAGGTGTTCGACCACCGTCGCCTTCGTAGCGTAGAGCGACTGTGTCGTAGTGTCACTACGTCAGTAATGCAAAAGTCAGGTACAGAATTTTAGGTAGGAAAGGAAAACTGTGAAACTTCATTACCTGCGATGCTTGGGATATGTTTTACGCATGTTTAGTCATCGTCTGCCTCCTCTCACAGTGTTAGCTGCAGTTGTTTGAAGCTTGAAAAAGGCCAGATTAAAACTGGACATCAGTTTATGGAGTTTTACACTGTTGTTTTAAACCATGTAGGGTAATGTTAGCATCCTATTTGTAGTTTGTATGATAACAGAAATCAAAGGTTGGAGACTGTAGGTGACATAGCTTAGAATCGATCTCAGTGGCACGGATTTAACAGCACACTATCCTCATCTTAATCATCATACTGAATTCAGTATTTTCTTACTCCTTCTTGCTATATCATCATGACTTTCTACCGCTTTTAACTGCTTTCTTCGCTATTTTTCTATCTATTGTCTTAGTGGATACTCGCTTATTGTGCTGATATGAGGTGTGGCAACTTGGACCTTTACATAGTAATACTGGGTCCTATATTCGTCTTTTCTGTTTAGGTGTATCGAAATGGACTGTGATATCACCTAGCACTAAAGAGAACTTGGTATTAGTATTCGACACTTATTGAAATTGATATCTCATATTATTGATCATGCAAAATATTTCTTAAGACCCATAAAGAAATATGGTTGGCAACTTTTAGTTGCATGGTTGTAATTCAGTCACAGTGGGGCAGGTTTATTCACTTCATGAAGTTTTCGAGCGTTTGTACATTCTCAATACCCTTCATTTTTCAAATTGTTGCTTTTTTGGTACTTTTTTTTCTTTGGTATGAGTCTTTTTCAACCATTTGTTCTTTTCATGCTGTTGTGAAGTGTTGGGAACTTGAATTAACACACTTCAGTGCGAGTTTCGATGTTGACGTTGTCTGATGTACAATGTCTGATAAATTAAAGCTTTTTGTTCATGCATTCCTAAACACACACTACTGTTGTATGTGATATTCTTTAGTGTTGGTTGGAAGAAATGTTAGGACAAACGAACCAAGGTATGATGAAAGTGTTTTCAGCCATCTTTGTTTGTTTGAACTGTGTGGAAAAATAATTCTTTCTTTCTTCATCCTTGTGTTGACAGAAATCGTTAGTAGGAGGTCTTAGAACATATAACTTGAAATCATTCGTAGTAGTGCATTTTACTAAATGCTTTGCTTTTTCGAAAATTATGCCTTTCAGCTTTCCAATCTGCATTTTGTTTATTTGTTTCCGTTTGTTCATACTGTGTTTGGAAGCCTACATCAATGAAAAAAGTGTATAAGCATCTGCAAAACCTAACACACAATATTTGCTTTGTAAATTGCACCTTGGTATGTCATCATTATCATCATAAGAGCGCAGTTGCGTCATATGGAGTGGAAAAGGGTTCAGGTTAGCCAGACCAAGACGTGGACCAGTCGATGAAATCTCTGATTGTTGTTTTTAGCCATGTGGGGGGATTTAGACTACTCGCTGGAATCTCGGATATAATAGGAATCAGTGGTTGAGGAGTCTTGGTGAAATGGCTAGAATCGGTCACAATGGTGCAAATGTATTCACACTTTGACATCTAAACTTTGTACTAACCTTTATCTTCTGTCACACAAATTCGTTTAATTAAATGCCACCTTTTCTATCTACTTGTGCTTTGAATACTACTGTGAAGTGTGACAAGTGATACCGATGCACATATATCCGAGGTTCTACGTTGATTTTGCTTGTGTCTGTCAGTCATATGGATTGCTGCCCCAAGGGGCATAATCCAGGTTTGTATACACATATTGATAAGTAAGATATTCATCAAAAATAGGTTAAATAAATTATAGATCAGTTGTCTTTTCACTAGGTGTTTTATAGTTGTAAACAACATAGGATTAATTTCGATATCTTTTGACAGCATTCGTTCGATGTAATCAATACCACTCTGTTGAGTGGAGTAATCGATTGTGTAGATTTTGCATGTCCTAAACAGATATATGACAAAGTTGATGCCTGAAAGTGGTCGTGAGTAGTTGTTCATGAGGGAATCAAAAAGGTTTCAGCAGTTGGTAATATACCTTAATGATATGGGCTTCACGAGTAAGTCTGAAGAAAATTGTCAATGAATACTAACGTTACTTTGAAAAATGTTGTTTTACACACTAAGTATTGCATGGATGGTTCTTCACTTACATATCAGCTGTTTACTTCCCATGGAGGGAGACTGGGTCGGTTTTTAATTAGCTGTCTGCTCTCAGCAAATCTAAAAATACGATCAAATGATTCTTACGTCTTATGTTAGAAACTTGTGTTAAACTTTTTAAAATGGTCTTCAGAAATGCTAATCCAGGACTAATAATCAGTTTAAGCCTGCTGTATTTAGTCTGGTCAACTGTTCTAAACTCTTCCTGCTAGTGCGCACAAAGGGAAAATGAAAACAATTTGTAAAACCGTAGGGTTGTCACTGATATAATCTCAGAACAACTATCGTTCTTGGGAATAGTCTTTGATTCCAATTAGAATCCTATTAAATGGTGTTTGACAGCTATCCTAGTGAAGACTGTTATCAAATGATAATCGGATTTTAAAATAAGGTAGTTGGATGGACAGAAAAGTGTAAGAGCATGCCGGAAATTGCAGTGGTTCTAGGTACTCGAGTTTCAACATCACCGGAAGGAATAAAAATTAACAAGCATACATTAAAGTAAGCTTGAATATTGGTACATAGACAAAATGGATTCTTTACTTAGTGATGAAAGTAAATTTCGGAAATTAGCCGCTTATGGTGATACAACAGAGAAAACCGAGAAACATCTAACTGAATCACTGAAAAGGATAAACCAACAATGTTTCGTTTCAGAAAACACCGAAATGCTGGAACCTACTGGAACCGGTTACACCTAGACTTTATGGCCTACCGAAACAGCATAAAAACGGTCTGCCTCTACGACCAGTTCTTGACATGACTAACTCTCCATATCATACAACAGCAAAATGGTTGGTACAACTTTTGAAGCCTCTCCACAAAGAAGTTGTGAAATACAGTCTCAAAGATACCTTTGAATTTGTCAGAAAGATTGAGGATCTGGAAGTAAATAATAAGGTAATGATTTCGTGTGACGTTTCATCTCTTTTTACTAACGTTCCTTTAATGGAGACAGTAGACTTTATTTGCAACGAACTCACGAAGCACGGCATGGAAATAGGTGTTCCAGTCCCCACATTGAAAGAACTGCTTCTGAGGTGTACGATGAATGCACAGTTTCTTTTCAACAATGAACTCTACCGGCAATCTGATGGTGTTGCTGTGGGGTCACCCCTTGGCCCACTCTTGGCAGATTTTTTTCTGGCAAAACTTGAGAATGGTCCACTGAACGATACTTTAAGCCGTTTAGAGTTATATTGTCGTTACATGGATGATACCTTTATAGTTCTCGGAAGTGAGACTGATAAGAATGTTGTTGTGAATAAGTTCAGTGGTGTTCACCCGGCAATCAACTTCACAATGGAAGAGGAGAAAAATGATAGTATCCCATTTCTTGATGTTCTGTTGGTAAGAAGGTCAGATGGAACCCTGAAGAGAAGTGTTTATGGAAAGCCAACGTCAACAGGTCAAAGTACGCACTCCTTTAGTGCTGTACCCTTCCAATACAAAAGGAACCTAGTGAAATGCTTAGCGTACCGTGCATCAGCTATTTGCTCAGAGGATGCTATAAAGGAAGAGTGCGCCACCTTTCGTGATCTGCTTAGTAGGAATGGCTACCCAGACAAGTTTGTAACTAAGCACATGAATACTACGAGGGTTAAGAAAACAACGCCAATAGTTCCTAAGAAGCAAATCTTCTTGAAGCTGGAATTTAAGAGTGATATTGCCAGTGAGATCATCACATAACGCATAAAAAGAGTCTTGCATAAAGCATTCCCAGCCGCTAAATTATGTCCCGCCTTCTACAACCGCCCGATCCTAGGTGCAAGAAATAAAGATAAACTGTCTGATTCTGCCACTTCTATGTACATTTATCAATTTAACTGCTCCTGTGTAGCGAGTTACATTGGGCGTAGAATGAGGCAGTTCCATCGTCGAATTTCTGAGCACCACCTATCATGGTTGAACAAGGGACAAATTAGAACTATAAAGAGCTCCATACTTGCACACTTAGTTGACACAGGACATCAAGTGGTTACTGGAAAAGCCTTCAAAATTATCCATCAGATTCCAATTAATTTACCTCATGGATTACGCACTCGGTTACTTCACATGGCAGAAGCGATTGCAATCCACCTTCACAAACCTAGTCTTTGTATCCAAAAGAAGTTTGTTTGATCACTTTCATTGCCGTGGCCGTCAACATGATGTAACTTCTAGGTTGACTTTCCACACCTCTTCCCCCTTCTTGTTTCTATCAATATTCATATTTCCCATTTTAATAACTCTACTGATTATTAACATCATTATTTCCGAAACACCACTTGATTGGTAATTTAAATTGTAAACCTATATATTAGTGTAGAGCCCAAGGGGAAGATCTTATTGAAATGAAATATATTTCTTCGCTCAATCAGTCTTTTTCTTTATATATATATATATATATATATATATATATATATATATAAATGTTTCACTTAGTACCTAATTGTGCCTAATATCCTAAGTGTTGCACATAAACCCATACTGACTTGAGTTATTTCATTATTTGCATAATAAGTCACTTGTACATCTTACAAGCTGATGTAATAGAATTCATTATTTTTATTTTAGCCTACAAGCGGGTACGTCGCTGGTGATGCTAATTATAGTAGAGGTCAACGAGGCGGACGTGGAGGTAGTGGTCGAGGAGGTCGTGGAAGACCTTACTAATAGTGATGATACCAGTTTTATTGCTTCTCTTTATTTTTTGGCGTCATAACTCATTATGTTAAGTTGTGCTCCGGTTCCTCAACGCTTTCTTTTATATTCTGAAATTGTTTCATTTGTTATCATCCTTTTAGAAATATAAACGTGCTTTGTGGATTAAGATTTGTTCTTGGTTGCTCATTCACTTCGTTTACTCGTAGATCAATGAATTTTTTCCAAGTTTCATATTGACTTATTTTTGCGTTGAATTATATTTTTTTCCAATGTTGAAAAGTAGCCTACATACGCGTTTTAGGCCATGAGTCACAAGCGCTGTTTACCGTCATAATCATAGATACGGTTGAGAATAACCCCTGTGAAACTGAATCATGTAGTCTGTCAATGAGTTTTAAATATTTCCATTTTGGTATTGTGAGAATGTAATCTCATAAGTTTTATTGATAATTAGTTCGCAGTTGGTCTGGCTAATAAAATTCCCATATTCAGAAATGAAATACAAAAATACTAGACACCGTTTTCAAACAATATATATGTTTTTGGAATGCGGTTTATATATGGATACAAGATAGGCTAAGGAATAAGACCAAATAATGGCATTTAATACCCTTGTACTGCATCGCAGTATTTTTTTTCGGATTGTTTCCTATTACTTCACGATCTCAGTTTTATTTTGTTTGTAATCCTTGTTTTTCATTAAGTACGCCGCCAAATACTCAATTGGTTTCTGCGGTCTAGAAAAGGAATCTTAACGTTTTAGGCTTTGCCAAAAATACCTTTCTTTAGACAAATGTAAGAGTCGTGTATGAGAACTGGTACAACCAATTTTTCTAGATACGTCCGTGTTGGAAGGGCTTGTAGTTCCATTGTTGATGCTTCTAGATGGATATCAGATCTCACGTAGCTTATTGTGTTGCAAAGACTCTGCATAAAATGCTCTACATGAATGTCTTCGTTATTCAACATTTCTGTTCAGATGTGCAGTAATATGAACTCTTGGCCCAATATCTCCTGGAAAACTCTAATCACTATTCCTAGAAGTTATTGAAATACAATAGTGAATATTGTAATGAGTCACCAAACAATCTTATTTTACAAAATGTGTATTCAAAAATAACTGTTTCGAGTTTAATTTAAGATTTTAACAACCATGTATTCATGTATTGAAACTCCTTATCGAAGCGTAATATATGCACAGATGTTGAAGTTTATGCAGAAGGCCATAAGAAAAGAATTAAATGAAGATCCACAAAAGTGTACGAGAGAATAAATAAGGGAGGGTTAATGAAAGTACTTAAAGATGGCAGAAAATGTACCATGAGATTGAGTCTTCAGCCATCGATTCCTTTCTTCCCAATGACTTTACCCAGTCTTAATTGATTAGACTGACGCTACGTTTCCTTTGCGTCACCCTTAGCCTTTTTTGAATGATTCCGCCAGTATTTCTTGTCGAGTCGGGTGGTCTCTCTTTCAATTTCGACGACCGTATTTCACAACCGTACCCTAACTGATATACAGGTTACCTATTGTGTGATGGTAGTCAGATATCCTGTCGACGCCAAACCTTCTTGGCACTAAATTATTAGGGACAAAAGTCCAAACCTGATGAATTCGTCATCAATTCATTTTGACGGATATTACTTCGTTGCTATCATCCATCGGATATGCTAGCTTATAGTAATTCTGACCATATATCCGTTTCCATAAACTTATTTTCGGTACCTTGCCAATAAAACTTGTGACCTTTCCAAGACAAAGATTCAGATTAGTCAGGTAATTAATTTGAGTGGTCAATAAAGTATAGTTGAATTGGAGTGGTCCATCCCTCTGAAAAAAAGTCTACATTGTGTCTGTGAGAATCATTTATATATTATTGTGTTGCCGATTCTATCCAGATTATCGGCTTTTGTCACTCTTCAATTACTCATGAGAGGCAGTTCATGGATTCATCCATCCTGTATTAACTCTTCGTCATATGCTTGAAAATGGTCATATATGTTTCGGATCAACAAGCCTGATAAGGTTTATTTTGAATTCTTTAGACGGGATCGCTTAGGCTTATATTTCAAAGTTCTCATACAAAAATATCAGATATAGTGAATTTGTCCAACCCTGTTTTCCTACTCTGCTGTTCTCTTCATTTACCTAACATTTGAGGAGATGCTTGGTAATAGTGTAGACTTGTCAGGGAGGGATAAGGTTTCTTATTCGAAGTATATGGGTCTTGTCGCTTTACAACATACAGCCACTCAAGTCTTACTTATCAAATTAGCGAACAGTGCTCATTAGTACGGTATAGTCCCTGTACAAATGTAGTGAAATGTAATATAGTTCGCTTGGTTGTGGATAGCAGAGGGATCCAAGATGCTAGTTTTGTTCTATTTGGGACTTGGCAGCTGGATGTACCTGCACCTCAGTGAATAATGTTCTCATCGAGACTGGTACCCGTCACTTCAAACTCCAAAGCGTTATCCATTGAGGCACGATAATCACCTCTTGTACAACCGGTATTAGTTATTACTATTTCTTGATATACTTCCAATTCTTCGTTGCTCTACTGAATTGAATCAGTCGGTCTTTATTGGCATATGAACTCCTATGTAGATATCTCGATATTGCCGGATCATTTACTACTGTTATTTACTTGGTTGTGGCTACCAGAGGAATCCAGGACGGGCGTTGCGTCTTATTTTTGATTTGTCAGCTGGATGTATCTAGGCTTCATGGATCTCACTGCTGGCCACAACCAAGTAAATAATAGTGATAAAATACCAGGCAATATCAAGACGTTCGCATAAGGGCCCATATGCCAACAGAAACTGATCAATTAGACCCAGTATAACAACAGAGAATTACAAAGTATGCCAACAAATAGTGAGGCGTACTTTTGAAAGACTAGAAGGGACCTGTTCGTGCACTCACCATTGGAATTGAACCACAAGGGACAGTTAAAAAGTACATTTGTTTGGGTGGTGTTATGGATGAAACTTTTAGTTGAAGGTTAGAATGATATATGCCAATCTTAATAATCCTCGACATAAGTCTTACGAAAATAGGTGGAGTATAGAACCTTTAAGTTCTGCTCTACGACTGTGAAATCTGAATTTAGTTAGCCTGGTATATCCGAAGACTGTATCTAATCACTACCGTGTTTCTCAATCAACTTCCATACGGTCCTCTGGACTGGTAGAAAAAAGTATGAAAAATAAAATAGGAAAACCAAAGAAGAACCTTGTACAGGAGTACATCAATCCAAGTCGTCACAGTAGCTTCAAAGAAGAAGTATACAGCGTATAGAATAAAGTCAAAGTGCATGAAGGAAACCAGTATAGGTATTTATAGGTTAATGAAAATTTCCATGAATTAGAGGTGGTAAGGAAATGTAAAGATTAGAGGCAAGATTAAAAAAATAGTCTGCATCAGCATACCTAAGAGAGTTCTCATCAGGATTGGTTAAGGTAGATATCCGTGAAGAACACTGACTGTTTCACTAAAATAGACAATAATATCGTGTGATCCCTTAAAACTCTATCAAAATTTTGTTAAATAAAGCAAAATGTTCAAATATTCTCATGCCATCAGGCGACTTCAGAGAATAAAAGAAGTAATATAATAAAGGAAGTCGAAGATACAAAAGTTAATAATAGATATGCTTGTGAATGCTGCGTATATGCGTAAGCTACGAATGTGGTCACTACTTTTTGTCACACATATTTAAGCTTGAGATGGATCAACTAGGAATCAGACGAAGTGTTGTTCTGGCAACAAACGAGGTTCTTAGTTCATGCAGTCACTCTCACTGAAGCTGACTGTCTGATTTCGAGTTTCAGCGTACAATATCAATAGTGCAAGTAAATGAAACTTCCAGTTTTTGAACTCTTGCTTTTAAAAGTAAGACACGTCATTAGGCTGCTTTTTCAAAGTAAACTACACTAGTGAATAATTTTTGGCTACTAAATATAAACTTCCAGTGATTGCTATAATACAGCACATTACCATTTTACATACTGGTGACCTTACTGGATAGTGTCAGGCATTTTTATTCTCCTTTTGATTGAATGTGGAACTTACAGGTCAAGGTCACGGTTTGTAATTGTTCGTGTTGCGATAACAACGATGAAAGCGTACTGAAATCCAATATTTATTTAGTGATCTTGTGCAAGCCAATCGATTTCTTCGTACTCATCTCCACGTATTTCAGAAGAATTCTAAGTTTTTAGTGGATTTAGACACCTGCCCGTTATAGCTCTGGTGGATGCGTCTTGGTTGGAATTGTATAGAAGCTTTCGGCTTGTTCTTGGACTGCAGTGTAAATGAGTGCTTCCAATGTATTTTTACAGGACGGTTGTTGGGGTCGGTTGTAAAAGGACAGGAAGGAGCACAAAACTATAGAAAAGGAGAGGTAAGAAAGAAGTAGAGGGAAGGAGGTGAGAGGAATGGAAAGTGAATCCAGAGGGGATGGTTAAGATAACAGTGACATAAAGAGGCGAAACGGAGAGGATGAAGTACTTTAAACTCAGTAGGCGGAGAGGAAGATGGTAGTCGTGATAAAATAGAAACAGCTGTAGTATTAAGAGTGTTACTGAAATGGTGAGACGTCTAGCAGCGTAAGGGCTAGTTGAGTCCATGAAAATAGTGGCTACATATGAGTGTTGGTGTGCATTATCCTTATTGAAATGATGAACAATAATTGGGTAGTCTTAGCCTAGTTTCTATCCCAGCTGGATTATCGCAAGCCACGAGTCACTGCGCCGGTGTCCAAACTTTCCTGGAGTCTATCAACAGATGGGGGTGGCGACAATCTCGGCAGGTAATGCGTTCCAGAGGCTGCAGGCTCAAAGGGAGAAAAAAAGTGGTTTTGCTCCCCTAGATTTCGAGTCACCTGGAGTACCTACCCCCTTGGGGCCTTATTTCAGGTGGCTACTTAACCTCAAGTATCAATGGAGCGGAGGCCTAGATCATCTGTTCTATCCCCTTTTGGCTTTCACTTGGTCTGTCCAACACCC